ACACGATCACGATTCTTCTCCATTGACAGATGGATATAGAACACACTGTCATATTTGGGTGATGCATATTTATCCTTACATACAAATATGCTGGGAATTATCTAGGTTTTATCATGTGCATAGTTTGGTCGCAGTGCAGTGGATACCCCAATTTTTAATAAATAACTCATTTATCACACAGCAGTATACAATCTATAATATATCAAAATCCGTTATTTGATATGGTTCTCGTGGCTAGATACCAGCCACGCATACAAACATATTAAGTTGAGGTAACTGATATTACATAATACAAATGAGTTTATGTTCACGTGCAAATTCCCTATATTTGAAAACAGACAGGTTACTAAAACACTACAGTTATAAGTGAGGATGTATAGCATACACTGTATTGAATTTTCTTTGCTGAGAATTTTTGCATATATAATGCAGAAAAAGTAAAACAAAAAAAGATGTACATAATGTATGTCAAACTAATTTGATTAGCACCACTGATGTCAAATGGAGATACTGGTTTTATAAACACCTCCGATAGCAGGATGTCAAAAGAAAAAAAAGGGGAAAACATATTAAGTACATTTATTTTGTATTACAATAACCTTTAGCAGATGTTAGACAGGAAAGCCCTCGATTATACACGGGCGCACAGCCACACTCAAAATAAGAGTTAAGTATAAACAAATCATATAAAATCAACATAATCAGTACATAGTGAAATTCTATAAGATTTATATGAGTGTTATGAATAATAATGAATGTATATACAGTGGTACCTTATAGAACCTAACATAAACATTGGGCTGAGATTGAGTACTTCGAAAGGTATTTTTTCGTTTTATATAATATGTCATCGTGTCACTGATAACATCAAGGAAATATGTCGGTCACCAAGCGATACACGATTCAGCGGATATGCCTTTACTCCTTAAAGGCAGAGAATTCACAAAGTTGGGAATCGGGTAATGATCACGTCTTTTCCCAGCGTAGATTTGCGTATCTGTGGTATAAAACAATGAAGACGTAATTTATTGGTCAACAGAACTGTGTAATTTAAAGAGTTATCCCTCTACTTAAACGTACACTCTTCTTGGGCTGGCCTCTCTATGATTCATATTCATTATATATATCCATCGCGCGAGTAAATGCAGATAGCGGCTTGGGCTATGGAGATGTAGCTTACAACGAGGGTGGCAAACATTGCATTTTGAGTCAGAATAGCTTACATATAATACACAGGGAACGGAAGGAAGATTAAGTGTATATTCATCACAACATGGTCACCATAATACGTTATATATTAAAAGAAGAAGAAGAAAAAACATGATAATGATTTCAATTTTTAAATTAGAATCTAAACTCTCAACTATCGCAATGACAAACGTGATCTGGGCAATGTAAGACCTTATACTTAGTCATGTAGTAAGTAATGTGTATCAACAGCTATTACAGCATACTTAATTAACTTATTGGTTATGATATAATGATTTAATAGATGATTCCGATACAGTCGTACCACGTTTCATTACATTGATCACAGTTAAATTAAGAAGTTTTACATGTGCATCTGTCAAAATATATATGGTTTTCACATATGTTTTTTCCTGGTAGAGATAAATGGGATATCACTAATTACGCAGGTTTTACTTTCAAAGAAAACATTTTTACATGTTATTGACTGGTATTCTGTATAATAAAGGACAGGGACCAGAAAAGCTCCATGTACATCAATTAGACTGTATAGATATTTCAAATGTGTTCAACATTGAAAAGGTAGAAATACGATTAGACCATTGATTACCAAATCAATGGTATATATTACACTGGGAGTACCGTGGGGTAAGGCTAAACAATGTATATCAAAGTCATAGGCCACAATACTTACATATTTCATTATATAAGTACGCATGGACTTATTGTACTTTGGACCTATGTTCCCGTTTAATTATTTATGTGCAACAAAAGAATGGTATCAAGTCCTGAAGTCTATAGACAAATATTATTTTGTCTTACAGCATATTGGTTTTGGCAAAAATTTGACAAAAACTGGTTTACTGCCTGTTAACACAAAATAATATTTGGTTGTGTTTATAGAAAAAATGATATAAGGAGAAGTAATCATGACTGTAGGAACAGTGAATTTTGAACAATCCGCTCCCTCACCAAGAAACAATCATCACACAACTACATATTATATTAAATGGTTGATAAAATATTTTTCATGGAAACATAATCTTCAGAAATGTGAACTAAAGAAGCATATATTTATAAAAAGTAGATTATTGACACAGAATGCCAAACAAGGTAAATATTACACCATGAGTAAAGCCATTCAACAACCGCTATACCATAAATCAATGTCATCTATATCTATTTTATTACAATAATGATTTTGTTTTAATAAAAAAAATCAAGCTCATTCGCTTTGAAGTTCCTATTACCATCATTATTTGTTTTAAAATTAATAATATGCAAGTTACAAATTCTGTATAATGTTCTAACTGTGTAAAGTGAACGTAGAACACAAAGGTGACTGCACCTATATATGTGTGTGTAACAATGTTTAATGTTGTTATTCTATACTGTTTAAATAGACTATATTCAAATCTGGATTTAACACACGTATCAAAACGCAGGATATAATCATCATGTAATACTTTAACATATCCGGCTGAATGATTAGACATTCCAATTATAGAGTTTCAGGAGTTATTTTTGCGTTTTGTAAAGAAATTTGAGTCAAAATATTCAAAGTCGTGGCCACCTTACATTAAAATCCCATACATTGAAATAATTGCGTCAAACAAATGCGGAAAAAAATACTTAATAGTTCTAATGTTTAACTTAAGATGGTAATTCATAATGGTGGGAGCTGATGTCTCGTTTTGGTTTTGTTTTTATGTACCTGTTGGTGCTTATGATGATGTGTCTGTCGTTTGGTGAAGGTACGAATGAAACAAAAACATAACGGGTTTAGATGAAGGCATATCATTGTTTGTATTTGAAAATAAAAATCTATGTTTAAATAACAAATATCTCTTTGAACTGAAACAAAAGTAAAATGAACTCTCTGATACAAAACGTGCTTAACAGAAATACCACATTTTTGATTGTATGTACATCACTATTGATAAACGAATACATTTTACAGTAAAATTGTGAATGAATAAAGAGAAAACAGCTTTATTGAATATTGATCATATCTTACTACTACCATAATTTAAAATGAATAATCATATTCTAGAAAATGGAACCTGGAGCAGTGCTTAACGATTTCTCGAAACTAATTTGTTAAATGTCGTAGCAAAGAAAATTGATTTTGGAACGATAAAAGACAAATGCAAAATTAACTTGTATGCAAACTCAACAAAAGACATCACCTCATGTGCAATATGGGTCATTTGAACTGAGGAAATTAGGCTTGCAACGTGCTATAACGTACATATTTATGAATATAAGTTAGTTTATATTATAGTACGATCCATACTATTGTTTGCATTTAATACTTAGAACACAATTGAATAAGAGTTCAAACAATAAATTGATTTTATCTAGCGAGCTCCTTTGTGTCTGTTCGGTTTTCATATTTCGATAAGTTAGATACTGTATTGTTCTTTTGAATAAACCTGTCGAGCCCTGTGAAGGGTGAAAGCAGCTAGTTTTTTAGTCGGTCTTTAATCTTATTTTTTCTATATATATATAGCATAGCGTCAACACACCAGGAAAAAATATAAAACGGTTTTTAATAAACGAGGACGAAATATACTACAGCGTCAACACACAGGGACCTAGTATACCACAGCGTCAAATATAATACAACTTCAAAACACGACAAAAATGGAATTCACATCGATAAAACACCAGGAACAAGGAGATAGTACTGTGTAAACAGCAAATTGTATAATCATATCGTTTTAAATCGAGTTAATAAAGACCGGTTTTAGCAATTATTTAACGAGGCATATTAGAAAAGGCTGTAATTGCAGTTAAATGCGTAATACAACTACAATATCTAGTGAGTTCCGAGGTTGTGGATGCAGTAAACAAATACAGATTTATGTTTACATCTGTTGGTAGTATTAATGTGTACCAGGAGACAATGTTCCCGTGGGATTTACCCATTTGATTTTACCGTATACAAAGTGATTCGTTGAGATAGGAGCTGACCATGTTCACATCTATTGTTGTCCCATGATCATTATCTGCCTGTACATATCTTTTCTGTAATACAGGTTCATGTAGATTAGTTACATATTTTGACGAAGTTTTTGCAATACCAAGAACGCATTCCAAGATAACACAGTAATCGACATACAAAAGTGTGTATATATATATCAGTTAACATACCCTCGGTACACGGATGGCCACAATTTGATAAAGGGGCTATTTATATACTTTTGCGCATCATTGTATTTGGATATCTTATCACAACATGTAAAAACAGGAAGTAGAAAGTAGCAAGTTAGACTTCCTGGAAACTCCATTGGCGCTTTCGACTTGAATGACGAAATTCCATGTCAACTTTTGTTTGGATAATGTTGTCTCAAAATATTTCATCAATCACACTTTGTTGAAGCCTTTGAATAAGGTTTTTCATGTATTACAATACTCGACCAGCTTTTCCTCAACATTGATAGTTTCTTACTTTGGGAGTCCTAGATATAGCTTATTGTGAAAGAACTCGAACATAAAAGTGGATGTTTTACCGTATTCATATATGCTCAATTATTCGCATTGAAAATGCTGATAATTTTCTATTATAATGAAGTCACTTTTACAAACACAAATTCTAAAAAACAAGACTATTTCCTTTCACCTCTAGAACCACTAATGAATTGCCAAATGGCTGTTACTATTGGTTTAATTTGTGTGTCTCTCTGCATCGACATACTATTTTTTTAAATGGTACTTCCTTCTTCCTGTTTCTAGTGATTTTTGTTACATATACTTATCACGAAAGCATCATCTTTCACATCAAACAATAAACAACAAATATACAAGAATATATTCATACTGATTTTATTATAAAAAATGAAGTCTCGAGAAAGATGAACACATGTGAAATGGTGGTTGGGCGATATTTCACACCCCGATATTTTCCCTTTTCTCAATCTTCCGCTCACTCTTTCATTCTCATTCTTGTCTTGACTTCTGTTCCTCACTTAACAATCAACAGGTCGAAAGAACTGTAAAAATGTACATTTTTTTTCAATTCTGGTTTTGCATTTATTGATCACTCATCATGAATACGTTTGAAGTTAACAAAATAGATTTGACTTTTAAACTGTTATACAAACAATGCAATATTTGTCGAGAGCAAACATGCACTGGGGCCGTCTTCTGACTGGTGTGAATCAAACGATTATCAAACAATACTTGTATGATCTGTAAATTGAAAAGCAAATTCTTTTGTTTCATCACTCTCACATCTATACTCGCAATACATTCACACGGATTAAAATGCTAACTTCTTCACCAACAGGTACACATGGGAATCCATCTCGAATCCGTGCAGGTTGTTAGCGTCTCCTTGTAACCTCATTAGTAGACCACCATAGGATACGTAGGCAGCTCTGTAACGAAAAAAGAGAACATTTTCGTGAGAATTAACATTCTGGGAAAATTATTCCAAACAGATTTTTTTTCATATTGTTATATCAAATTGGGAAAATGTTTGATTCAATATTAGTTTTAGTATCCCTAACACAAACAGACCATGTTAGTATAAGAGGCAATCTGTTTTTTACCTAATTTGTGTGTACATTCTGTTGAATTATTGTTGTTTAAATATTTATTGGATGTAAATCAAATCTTTAAGATAATGAACCGATATTTTAACCAATTAGATACGTAGGAACCCCTATACGGCTAACAGATCTGTTGATTGCTTACTGAAATGACGTATATCTGATAGTGATCTGAGGTATTGACATCTCAAGCACGTAATAGTGAAAACTTGTTAATGATGTGGAAATACATATTTCTGTAAAGAAGACTTCTGCTTTATTTATATGTATGACAGGCTTATATGAATGATGACAAATACACACAATGATCCCTAATATTATTGAAAATGATTGTCCAATTAATGATATTTGGAATTAAACTGAAGACATGATTTCCTATTTTGAAAACGTAATCGTTTTAGAAACTGTTCGTGTATTTGTCCTATGATGTGATGATGTTTCATGAGTATTATGAAATGACAAAATGTGGTGATAATGAAATGATATCCCGACTGTTCATTCTTCCTTCCTGAGTGACATGACTGAAACGTTTAATGAATGATGCGATGAATGTATGAATGATTTAGAGAGATGTGTCATAAAATAACAAAATATTTATATTCCCATTACACATCCATCGACTTCATCCATACATCCATTTTACTTGGCTGAATACCATGATCAAATATGAAAAGTTAATGAGAAAGTTTGAATAAAAAATGACCGAAATTGGCCGAATTACAGCATGGTTTCACGGGAGTGCGAATAGTGGTTGTTCCATTGTTACCATGACAACCAGCTAACCACACTGCCACAAAAACACACCAATCAGTATCTTTGGAAGAAAAACATCCAAGGAAACTTGCATGAGATTTGATGATTGGCAGAATATTGACCAATAGAAATAATAAAAGATAGTTTGAATGCCTGGATGGATGGTCGAATGGAAACTGATTGATAGATAATGGATGGATGGATGAGTTTGTTAACTTTTATATGCGGTCATTCAATATGTGTAAAATTAATCTGTATCTCCACAAAACATGAATTACTCGCGAATAAACTGCACTATTAAATCTATATATTATGAAAGAGACTTGTTTAATAACGAATGTAATTTGATTAACGGTATTGGTTTTATTCTAAATTTATATAATACATTATAATAGTAAAACACAAGTGACAACAACAATACAAGACTATATCAGTGTTAGTTACATATATACACGTATACAAAATCCATCAATCAAAACACTTTTTTTCTGTGATAATAAAATTGAAACTGAATTCTGTCACAGAAACAGTATGTTAATTGATTGAAGCATTATAAATTCAGTTACGAAACATGGGTAAGCATGCACTAAAACAGTATTAGAGTCCAGTAGTTGTTAATTTACCCATCATGCACTGTTAACAGTTGGGTCAGAGGTCACAGGTGAAGGTGAGTGTGCGCGGTATCCACGTGACGACAGAGGTCAGGTGACTGGCCTGGTCCAATCACATACCAGATTATGCATTTACAGTTACTATTTAGATTGTAGAATGCACAGCTGGTAGTAATTGTACACAGATTCTACGAATTACTAAACTCGTCAAGCCCGATTTGTTGTCTTCGTTCACTTTTACATCAAATGGTAGAGAATTGTTTTTCAAGATATAAATGTTGCATTATGAAGCGGAGAGCCAAAATGAATGCGACAAGTGCGAGAATATGGTGTGCAGAATTTTCAATGAAAGCGACTTAAAACAGTTTTAGAATAATTTGACCTCTTCTCTCAATTACAATTTTGGCATAGGTTGATTGTCCCGTGAGTATGTATGCTTCGAAAATGTTTCACGCGAGATCGAACTTTTTTCATACTATAAACCTCTAATTTTAGCGCCAACTCCAGTATGCCAAAATTGTTAAAAGTTATATCTTACACACATGCAATATATTCACACAACAACATAAACATCAAAAATGCAAGTAAAAGCAAATGAATCTGAACTGTTAGAAGTTTTGTAGGTAAACGAATAGGATTTATTTCTTAAAGAAAAGAATAGCCAATGAATTTCGCGTCAAAAAGGTTTTTTTCTCCATCTATATATTCATCTTTAAATTAACAAATTTAATTATGAGTAAGTAGTATATTAGTCGTATTTTTTTTTGTTTATCTAACAGTTCACAAATATTCCCATTTACCGGTTGCCGTTTCGCTTTTAATGAAACAAATATTATAAGTTAGTTACATGCAGATTATTGGAGTGTTTCGACGTCAGACGACAAAGTATCATTCCCATTATCATCGTTTCACTACATAAAGGAAAACAATACATCAGTGAGTATATACTTTTGTGACAGAGCTTTCGATGATATTGGGGGAAATACTTTGTCTCTGTAATACTAAATTAAATATACATTCGTGGGTGTGTGACGTTTTATATTAGAGGCTAGTACAAATATGCAGACACACACTTAATGTTAATTTGCTAAAACAATTAATGTGTATAAAATACTAGCCACACATACAATGTCATGCAATACTCAACACACATTTATTGACAACAAAAACTGTCATAAAAGTTTTAAATAATACATGTTCTCCACAAATAAACCTATGAGTTGTTAAGTTTCTTTGATGTATCAGACAGATGAAAAAACAAATCTGAATTGAAATAAGAATAACTCAAATAAATTAATTACAATTAAGTATTTTTTGTTAACAGTATAATAATACGTTAGACCGAAGAGCTGACAAGCATGCATCTCATAAATAATAGTCCTAACTGAAACTGAATAGGAGAGGTATTGATTGACAAAAGAAAAAGATTGACTAGTCTACCAGAGCTTGTAATTATATCCATGTTGTGTACATAAATTAAATTTTCATTCATGTTAAGGCGGTAAAACAAAGCCGTACAATGATCACGCTTCGACATGAAAATGCCGCCAAACCTATCCTTGCCAATACAAACTAAGCACGTCAACCGAAGATCAATCCTCTATTATACTAAGACAATCGACAAAACTATAGTCGGATTGTATCGTAGCTTAAACATGATGAACAAACAGTTAAATGCCTATGCTTGATTCAAATAAAAAAGATCCAACATTGTATTACAATAGGTTCAATATTGTATTACACAACCGATCAATAACCGCGTGTATTAATCCATTTAATACTTAAAAGAATGTCAAAGACCCATGCTCAACTATTTAAAGAAAATCCTCCTAACACAGGATTACATAAAGCAAACAGTGGTACACTCATGTCGATGAAGGTTTTTCAATGTGAATAAAACTAACTTCTACAAAGTATGATTACGTCAAATATCCTTTAACCAATAGCCGCATGTGGTCTTTAAATCCACCTCACGAGGTAAAACAAGTAATTACCGCGCCCGGCAATGTCAAGTTTTTTCTTGATCATGGTATAGATATATTGATTCTTTAATGAAAAGTTTCCCGGTTAAGACGTGTTTCACAAGCAGTGGTTTTACGTGGCTTGCTGCAAGTTAGCGGAGAGCTAACAAGTCCGCAACGTGAAAGAATATTCGAACATATGTTTGGTACACAAGGCACTGGATTTTTAAAAGATACTTCTTTTTAAAAGCGTAGTCAGTCGAGAGCAATGAAATAAAATATCTTTGAAATCGAAAAATAGGGAATACGAGTCGTAACGCATTTAAATTATCTTTGTCCAATAAATAGTACACAATATACTTTTCAATTTTATTTAGCCTGCTTTGTCTTACGTTAGCATAAAAGTTGGCAATTTTTCCATTTTACTTATTTTAGAATGTTAATCAACAATCGCTCGATAGCACATGTCGTTTAACCACATTGTCCAGTTTCTGGCTCGTCTGATGAAGGTCTGATTAAGAAATGTTCCCTAATTTGTTTGCATCCATCGTATGTCTAATTCCTTTTTATTTTATTTTCATTTTACATGGATCTCCATGTAAACTATTTCCTTTGTTCATGTCGACACTTCGGTATTCTCATACTATTGGTTTATCAGTTTGTCATTCTTCTTTATCGTAATAATCAGAATAATAAAGGTTAGTTGATGATCTATTTAATATCAAATCGGAACTGACATTTACTTTCAATTTAGTTCCCATTTCAACAGCATTTGAAATAGAATAGCTGCAAATGTTCAGTTGCGTTATAGGACGACAATAGTGAGATGACATGCTTATAGCCGAGAAATTTGATAGGTAAAGTCAAATTGATCTGACCTCATATATGAAGTTCTGACAGTGAAGATAATTCACTTCACGACAAAAAAGATCGTCAGCATATTGGCACCTCTCCAAATGATATCTCACCCCGAGTGAGTTTCGTTATCATTGCGTGTCCCCTGTGTATAAGTATATAATATTTGAAGTTACACATAGGTACACGAGTTAAATAAATTGCAAATTGAAGTCCAAAGTACGAAGACAGTAACGAATACACGTGATGTCAACAGCTATTTCAGGTGAAAATGAATTATCTAAGATCAAAGTACATATTTTCTTATTATGCTCATTATTAATATAATTACGCATAATTAGGTAGTGTATGTCAAAAAGTTTGATGAAGTAGTGACGTAGAAAATGTCCCTGCTTACATATGCTACATTAGTAAATTTAGACATTGTGATTAAATCCTATTTTCATCGAGGTAAAAATGTTTTTATAATATTCAAGTGAATTTATGATATGATTTAATTTCAAAATATATTTTATTAAATCAATCCGATTGATTTTATATACTTTGATATGATGTATAGGAATATATGTTTAAGTGAATTGATGATATATGGAAGCAATTTCATATCAGCTGATGAAAGAAACCAGTTCAAATATATAGAACAGTA